ACTCTATCAGGGCTGTTTGTGTGATATCTTGATTTAAGAATCCGATTCTGGGGCTGGAGAGATGGCTCAACGGCTAAGAGCACTGATTGCTCTTTCAGAGGTCCTGAGTTCAATTTCCCAGCAACCACATGGTGGCTCATAACCATCTGTAATGAGAGCCGATGCCCTCTTTTGGGGTGTCTGAAGAGAGCAACAGTGTACTTACATACAATAAATAAATCTTAAAAAAAACAAAAATCTGATTCTGGTCATCTGGAGCTAAAGAATTGGAAAGGAGACCAGAACCATTAATATGAAACCTTTGCTTTGCTAAATCAATTGAAATCTTCTGGGAAGTGTTTCCTTGAGGTTAGCACCCAGAAACTATGGTTCCGAGGTGGACAAGTCTGCATCTAATGCTGGCAGCCAAACTTAGTAGTGCAAGGTCTCCCAGGTGCCACTGTTTTTGAATGCATGAAGGGGTCATGGAGACCAGCCGAGGCATGGCACTGTGTGGCAGAGCTTGAGTCCCTGAAGAGCAGTGGAGAGTGGGAGGTGGGAACTGGGCAGAGTGCAGCCCAAGCTGCAGCAGGAGATGCCAGTACCACGGGATGCCTGCTAAGGACTGAGTCAGATTGAATCTAAGAGATGAGCTGTGTGTGCTGTGTCTGTCAGAACCAGGAGAGTAGAGCTGTTTCAAGGCCTCTCGGAGCCCAGAGGATCAAGAGTGGATCTCACCATTAAGCACTAACTTTTCGTACTTTTTTTTTGGTTTTTCGAGACAGGGTTTCTCTGTGTAGCCCTGGCTGTCCTAGAACTCACTCTGTAGACCAGGCTGGCCTTGAACTCAGAAATCCACCTGCCTCTGCCTCCCAAGTGCTGGGATTAAAGGCGTGTGCCACCACTGCCCGGCTAACTTTTTGTACTTTTAAATTCTGCTTTTACTTTGACTTGATTATAACTACCCTGGTTACTTTCTCTTGAAATTAAAAAAAAAAAATTAGCCTGTGTTTTGATTGTATAAGAACCCATGGTTAGGGGACCCTGGAATTTGGAGAAACTTTGGAATTTTACAGACTTTATATATTTTAGAGGCTCTGGATTTATGTCAACTAGAGTCATTTGTGGAAAAGGGACCCTCAATTGAGAAAATTCCTTCATAAGATTTACCTGTAGGCAAGCCTGTGGCACACTATTTTGATTGATGATTGGTGTGGGATGGCCCCACCGACTGTGTTAGCCCTAGGTGCTGTAAGGAAACAGGCTGAGTGAGCCATGAGAAAACCGCTTAGCAACATCCCCCTGCCTCGGGTCTTCTGCTTCCCTTCCTGCCTCCAGGTTCCTGCCCTTCTTGTGTTCCTGTCCTGACTTTTCCTCAATAATGGACTGTTACTTGAAAGTACAAGATTAAATACAATCTTTTCTCCCCCAATTTACTTTTGGTCCTTGTCTTAGGGTTTCCATTGCTGTAAACAGACACCATGACCAAGGCAACTCTTATAAGAACAACATTTAATTGGGGCTGGCTTACAGTTTCAGAGGTTCAGTCCATTATCATCAAGGCGGGAGCATGGCAGCATCCAGGCAGGCATGATGCAGGCAGAGCTGAGAGTTCTACATCTTCATCTGAAGGCAAACAGGAGAAGATTGGCTCAATGGCAGCTAGGACTAGAATCTTAAAGCCCACACCCACAATGACACACTTCCTCCAACAAGGCCACACCCACTCCAAGGCCACACCTCCTAATAGTGCCATTCCCTGGGCCAAGCATATTCAAACCACTGCAGTCCTCTATCACAGCAATAGAAACTCTAACTCAGGCAGATCTCTATATAAAACATTCCAACTTTTTCAAGTCTCAGTCTTTAAAAATTTAAGCAACTGCTGAGCAGTAGTGAGGCCCTTCTTTAATTTCAGCACTCAGGAGGCAGAAGCAGGTGGGTCTCTGTGAGTTCAAGTCCAGCCTGGTCTACAGAGCAAGTTCCAAGACAGACAGGGCTCCACAGAAAAACCCTGTCTCATAAAAACAAAACAAAGCAAAAACAAACAAACAAAACTCCAAACAAACAAAAAAGAAACATCTTAAATTTTCAATCTCTTTAAAATATCCAAAGTCTGTTTAAAAATCCTAAGCCTCTCTGAATTATCCAGAGTCTCCTAACTGTGGGTTCCTGTAAAATTAGAAAACAAGTTAATAGTTTCTTATTCCAAGAAAGGATAATCAGGGAAATTAGATTCAAAGCAAAGCAAAACCAAAGGTCAATGGTATAAAAAGTCTCAGTCCTTGATGCCTGGGATCCAGCTCTGACGTTTACAGCACACACAGATTGTCACACAAGTGCAGGTTGGCTCCACTCACAGCTGCCACTCCTGTGGTACTGGCATCTTCAAAATGCTAGGGTCCAACAGCTTCTCCTGGGCTCTCTTCAGGACTGCGATACTGAGCATGATGCCAACCCCCAATTTCTTTCCATGACTCCTTCAACACAGATCTTTCTGTACTGAGTCCATGAGCAAGGAGCATGGCTGCCACTTTTGTAGGAGACATGAAATCGAGGAGCTGAGCACAAGTGTTTTGCAGTTATTTCTATCAGGAGGAGGCTTCGTTATGGGACCCAGTGACAGGAAAGAACTGACCTCTATGGATTCACCAATGGCCTCTCTTTGGGGATATTTGTCCAAAGTATACTAAACAACCAAGGCAGAGTAGCCAGCAAAGATAGCATGGGGGTGAAGAGTCTAGTCAGTAACCAGGGACTGTTTTGTTTTGAGCTGTTTTCTGGAGATGAAAGAAAAATTTCTAGGGCAAAGAAAACAACCCATTTGTGGGTGCCTAACAGATCTTTAAGACTGGCAATGGGGGCTGGAGAGTTGGTTGGGGCTGAAGAGATGGCTTGGCAGTTAAGAGCACTGACTGCTCTTCCAGAGGTCCTGAGTTCAATTCCCAGCAACCACATGGTGGCTCACAACCATCTGTAATGGGGTCTGATGCCCTCTTCTGCTGTGTCTGAAGACAACTACAGTGTACTCATATACATAAAATAAATAAATAAATAATTCTTTAAAAAAATAAAATAAAAAATAAGGACTGGCAACGGAGGAAGAAAACAAAGCTGGAGGGTGATGAGAGATTCAGTCTGGAATTCAGAGACTGCAGTGCCAGGACTGGATGCAGGAAAACAGTCTATCTCCAGCTTTGCCGTCTCTGAGACTCTCAACAAGTGTGGGGCCCAAGGCTCTGATCCCTGCTCCAGCCTAGAACTGATACTGGGTTTAGAACCTTGGTTGTTCTGTTTTAATTGGATCTGTTAATCAAACATGAGGTTGCATACCCTACTATGCAACCGAACCGTGATATCAGTGAAGTTGAAGACAAGCAGAAGATACATTGTGGAGGGAGCTGAGGAAGAAGTCGCGACAGAAAGTTGAGGGCTGAGGATGTAGCCTGGTGGTAAAGCGTGTGCTGGAATGTGATCTGGGGCACTCTTCTGGCTTGCAGGCATATAATAAAGAATTTTTTTTTTTTGAGACAGGGTTTCTCTGTGTACCCCTGGCTGTCCTGGAACTCACTCTGTAGACCAGGCTGGCCTCAAACTCAGAAATCCGCCCACCTCTGCCTCCCAAGTGCTGGGATCAAAGGCGTGCGCCACCATCGCCCGGCAATAAATCTTTTTTTAAAGAAAGATTCTATATGTAACAGTGTATGCTATATTGGGTTTTGTGGCTGGTTATTTTTTACAAGAACAGTATTCCTTGGTACAGTCCTGGACAACTGTTCAGAATGCCCACTGAATTGGTTCCAGGTACCCTAAGTATAACAGACTCTGCAGATATTCAAGCTTCTTATATAAAATGAATCATGTTTGCATATAATGTGTATCCTGCAGTATATTTCCAGTAATCTCTAAGTCACTTAAAACACTTAATAAGATGAAAATTCTATATAAATACTATATTGTTTAGAGAAAGAAAAACACACAAAGGTCACATTCTCCCTTGGTACCTTCTGTCACTAAAAAGATAAGCTAAAGTTATAAAAAATATTTTTTAAAAGAATGCCAAGTGTTTTGTAATGATGTATTCCCTAACATGCACATGCTGTGCAATTGACTATGTATTTGTCTGTTGTTGCTAGTCAAAAAAAAAAAAAGCTAGTTTAGGATAAATACTTTAGTCTTCATTAACAAAAATAGTTTTCTCTTGAGTACACATGTGAGAAGTGTTTACTTTTTTAATGTGATTTTTTTTTTAATTTTATGTGCATGGATGTTTTGTCTGCTTGTATGTCTATGCAGGGCTTGTGTGCCTAGTGCCCAGGTAGACCAGAGGGCTGCAGATCTGCCAGGACTGGATTCACACGTATTTGTGAACTACGAGATTACTAGGAATCAAAACCCCTGGGAGAGCAGCCAGTGTCTTTAACTGCTGAGCCATCTCTCCAGCCCCTTGTTTACTTTGCTTTATAGTTACAAATTTCTAGGTAATTTTTATAAGGTTATCTAGTCAATGTTTCTGAAACTCCAACAAGGCTTGTTGTGTGAATATTTTACATAACAACAGTTGTCTAATATGTCTATAAAACAAGCATTAAGTTTTGTAACTGTCCTATGAACACTCCTACAAAAAAAACTAAACTACCTGCTTAAGGAATTTGGGTTTTTTATTGACTTGCCTGTCAAATCGCTGATTCGTTCTTAAGTGCTCTTCATCTTGCCAGTACTAGACACTGAAGCCGCGGCCTGGTGCTCTCTCTGCTGCTGAGCTATCCATCAACTATGTTGCTTTTTAAGCAATCTGTTTTAACTCCTGGGGCCTTTGAATTAAAATTTCCCATTACCCAGAGATATTTAGTTCTTATATGCTCCTGATGGTATCCTCTTACTAAGTTGAAACTTCCTTGTGTGCTCGGGTCCATTGAGACCCCTTATATCATCAGTAAGGGGAGGCGGCGTTCACAGGGTGCAGCTTTGAACCATCGAGTCGCCTGAGTCCCCCAGACTTGCTGGGGTATAGAGCGGCCATGCGGAGGGGCACGGGGCGGGGCCTCAGGCCGGAAGTCGGGCGGGACTTGGAGGGTCGGTTGCGGTTGATTTGGGCCGTAGACTATGGTAATGGTCCCTCCTATAAGCTCCGCCGGTACGTTCCCCCCCTAGGTGAGTTCACTAGACGAAGCCTCCGCCTGGGAACTGTCATCTGGTGTCCCCAGTGCAGCGTGGAGGCGTCGGGATGCGGATTTAGCTGCGCACAGCGCGGCGCTGGTTCGAACTGGGGCAGAGTTGGAACCTCTGGAGGGTTTGTGAGGATGTGTGTGAGGGTTTGTGCTGGAGGTGGGGACTTGACAGGTATGCGACGAAGGAGCTCTGGACCAGAGAACTTAAAGTTGATGTTAGAGAAGAACACAGCCTGGGGGTTCGTTCATTGGTTTAGGGCCGCGCCTGGTGTTCTATCCTTGCCCAACAGTGGTGGATCGGTGGAGCCGGTTCCAAGAAGGAAAAATTTTGTACCTGTTATTGAGATTGAGGTGGTGATGGTGGTGGTGGGAATCCTGCTGAGGTAGTGTAATGTTGAATCTTTCAGTTAACTCAGCCTTTAGCCAAGAAAAAAAAAAAATGCTTCTAAGTTTATTCGGGTCGGGGCTGGAGAGATGGCTCAGAGGTTAAGAGCACTGACTGCTCTTCCAGAGGTCCTCAGTTCAATTCCCAGCAACCACATGGTGGCTCACAACCATCTATAATGGGATCCTCTTCTGGTGTGTTTGAGGACAGCAACAGTGTACTCATACATAAAATGAACAAATCTTTAAAAAAAAAAGTTTATTCGGGTCATTGGCAAGATCGGTTACCTTGTGGTTTATATTTCTTTTCATTCTGGACAGAGCAGCCTGTAATCCTGGAGGTTCCTAACGTGGCTGCACATCTAGATACTACCATTGGCTTATGAGGGCCTTTACTGGTTGGTGTTAATAGATTGGACACACAAGGGTCCAATTACTTTTGTGAAATCTCCCATGCCCTGTGGTGTAGTGTATCTACAGGTTCTGGGGATTGAGACATGGCCGACCACAGATTGAGTATGTGACCTCTGGACGAGATGGTTGAAGCAAGAGCACACTTGGGTACACTTGATAACAAGAAGGACCAAAAGATGTATATATGCTTGTGTAAGTCTAGAGTAATCTGATGGATACACTAGAAACTAGGAAAGAGAGTTGTGTTCATTATTTTCTTGTTGCTGTGATAAAAATATCACTCCCAAAGCAACTTATACAAGAAGGACTTTATTCTGGACTTCTGTTCCAGAGAAATAAGAGTGTATCACACCAGGGAGGCGTGGCAGTAAGGAGCAGGCATGGCAGCTAAGATGGGAAGCTGAGAACCCACATCTTCAGATGCAAGCACAAAGCAATGGGAGAACCCAGTGTAGAGTGAGGGCTTGATCTCAAAACCCACCCCAGCGAGATTACACCACTCAACCCTCCCCAAACAGCCCCACCCAAAACCAAGCCTACAGGGGTTGGGGTTGTGTTTCTCATTCAAACCATCATGAGAGGAGTTGTTTTGCTTCTGGAAAAAGTACAGAAAGACGAGCTATGCCTTCTTTCATCAGGCAGCCGAAGCCTCTTAGATTCTATCCTCAAGGGCCATCCCTCTCAGCTCTGTCCTTAAACTTGCCCTCTGACCTCTCTCTGACCACTTGCTGTCTGACCTCGTTCTGACGACTAGCTGTGAGTTCCTCCGATCTCGGTCCAGCGCCGTCCAGAACAGTGTATCCCAGTGTCATACCATCCTCCTGACACCCTTCAGGGAAGCCATTGCCCAGCCCCTTCCTGGAGCCTCTTCGCCACACTCCACAGGTGACAGGTTGTTGCCTCATGGTATCCCACTCAGCTTTACCTCATCCTGAAACAACAGAGCATCCTTCCTCCCAGGGAAACAGAAGGAAGAGCCCATTGGCCAAAGACACTGCGTTTGGACAGCCTGTTGTCTTACACAGGGTGTGTGTGGGGTAGGGGGTACAGTGTTACCCTCTGAGCCCCTTCTGGCCTCACAGACCTGTGCTACAGAGCCAGCATTTCAGAGAGCAGGCCTATGGGACCTCTGCCATGTGCTCTGCTTCCTGGTTTTCCCGCTATCCAGGCCGTTGCTCCTAGGACCCGCCCTGCGTGCCTCTGCCCTTCCCATTTCCTTCACTTCTACCACTCTCCCGTCACCTTCTGGTCACCTCTTCAGTGAGGCCTACTCTACTATGTAGCTAAACCTCTTCTACTTCCCTCTGCTGCCCTATCTATTGAACTGATGCATTTACTATGATCTTCTATCCCTGCTGTTACCCCAAGGAACAAGCAATATAGTTGGTATTCAGGAAACATGCGTTGGTTTGTTTGTTTGTTTGTTTGTTTGTCACTGTTCTTCAAGACAGGGTTTCTCTGTGTAGCCCTGGCTCTCCTGGAACTTGCTTTGTAGACCAAGCTGTCTTTGAACTCAAGGATCCATCTGTTTCTGCTTCCTAAATGCTGAGACTAAAGGCATGCCTCCACTACACCCCGTTTAGGAAATAATTCTTAAAAAAAAAAAAAAAAGTACCCAAGAGGAGAAATACAGGTCATAAATGGACAGGTATCATCTACTAGAGGTTTCTACCAACATTTCCTGCGTTTTCTCTAGCCTAGAGATGGACCATGTTGGATGCAGTGGTGGAAGGACCGAGAAACGTCAAACTCCTTTCCCTAATGCCTCTGGGGGCAAGGCAGGAGTAGAGAGGAGCTAGGGGCAGTCAGCAGTTTATCTTTGTGAAGAGCCAGTGTGCCTCCAGGTGGGCGAGCTCCGTCTTCTGCCCAGAGCGAGGAGACTGGAGATGAGCACACATTTAAGAGACGCCACAGGATAAAGGGTGTTGTTACCTTGGGACAAGATAAAAATCAGTAGGGATTTAAAGTAGGTACAGAAGTGAACCCTGGGACACCAGCAGAAAAGAGAGAGTGAGAGGCTGAGGGAATGGATGGTTGCTGCAGCGGGAGAGCGGGAGGGTAGAAACAAAGGTACCCATCACGACTGCCGCCACACGCATCTCAAGCAAACCTGACTGCTAAGATTGGCAAGCGCTGAGCATGTCAGCTGCTGTGGCTGCTGTATCTGCCACCCTTGACATTTCAGACCTTTAGGGCTGCCGCTTCCTCACAGCATGTGGTCTTGGATGTCACACTCCATAGGACTGTGTGTCAGGAGCCAGGAGTAGAAGGGCCCACCACTGAAAAGGCTTTGTCAGGGCTGTTCCCTCTTTATGTTAGTCTGAGCCTTTCAATGAGACACTTGCCATGCACCAGGGGCTCGCTTTGCCTTGGGGATCAACATACCTAGTCTTCATATCTATAATGAAAGGTAGAGGAAAAACCTTCTCTCTTGTAGGATAGTGGAACCTGGTACTAGCTTCTGTGTACACTGACTGTGTCCTCTCTGGTCGTCTGCAGGTGTCACCTATGCCCAGCCTCAGAGTGCATTCCAAGGAGGCAGAGAGGTTGAGCCCTCAGCTCCTGGACCAGCTCCTTGGGCTCCTGCAGCCCAAGCCTGTCTGAGTGACACTCTGCTGTGACCCACTCTGGATCTTCAGTCTGTGGGCCTCTCTGCTGCCACGCTGTTAAATTGGAAGCCATCCACCCTCACCATCAGCAGCTAGGTACTGGGAACTGGTTCCCCATTGGTGTCCTCATTCTGGAGTGATGATGGCCACACCACCTGAAGCTTACCTTTAAGGAGTCAGTCATCTATCTTGTGCTTTGTGCATGGACTCAAGAGGCCAGGGCTGGATGCCAGGGAGTTGGCTTCTCTTAGCCCCTTGTACCGTAAGTAGAACCTTCATTGTCCTTCTAACACCGAGAGTGTGCTATAACAGCTGTCTGAATTCTTTGCTTTGCCCTGTAGGCCTGACCCCAGAGCCAGCCTGGCCACAGCTCTCTGCATCACCCCGTCCTGGTTTCTCCTGGCTACATTCACATGGCTTTGTTGTTCCCATCCCACTCAGAGCCCTTCAGAGAGCTCTTCGAAAAGACTCCTTACCAGCTCACCTGTGCAGAAAGGGATGACCGGGCTAAGGGTGGGAACGGCGCAGACCGTGTACAGATCAGCATAGGCTAAACAGAGCATGCTGTAAATGGGAGGGGCTGGAGAGACGAGAGAGGGTCCCAGAGCGAGAGAAGGTCCCAGAGTGGCCTGAGAATAGACCTACCGACCAGGCCGAGCAGACGCAAGATGTTAAGCATCTTGCCAAGAGGTCTTTGCAAAGGATAGGAAGCATAGAGCCCTTCCAGAGTGGGCTGGAGGCTTGTGCTGATGTGCTGATAGGGACTCAGTCTGTTTTGGTTCTGTCTCCATCTTTTCTGTTTTTGTTTTGACTCATATTCTAAAAGCCACTGTTGGTGACTGGAGAGCTGGCTCAGCACTTAAGATCACTTGCTCTTGCAGAGGACCAGGCATCAGTTCTCAACACCACAAGGGTGGCTTGCAACCATCCAAACTCCAGTTCCAGGGCATCCAAAACCCTCTTCTGACGTCTTCAGGCACTACTCATGCGTGGTGTGCATGCATTCGTGCAAGCAAAACACCCATACACATAACTTAATTGAACAAGTTTAAGCCGCTGTGGAACAAATGGGTAAGGTGGGACCTGCTTTCCAACATAAATTTTTAAATAAACTAGAAACTGTCAACTTTTTTAGAAATCTAGAAAAATGTCACAGGTTTGCCACAACAAATGAAAGAGTAAATAGCGAGGCAGCTGTAGAGTGGAAGGAACACTTCCTTGTGTTCTTGCCACCTGGACCCCAGCCCCTGAGAGCAGGAAACCTGCACTGCCAGTGTAAGACCTGGATCCCAAGTTCCACAGGGAACAGCATGTCTTGCTTAGAACTTTCTGGCCCTAACACGTCTGGGCTTCCCTGAAAGGACTAGTACCAGACACTTATCTCTTCTGCCTAAGTCAACATAGGACATGAAAACAGTCAGCTCAGAAACATTGTAACCCTAAAGGAAACACTTGGTTTATTGTTCATTGTGAATGTGTAGTCAACTACTAACAGCTGAGGAAGAAAAGCTGGGAAGACAGTTTCTTGGGGGGAATGAGAGAATCCAGAAGCAGAATTGAAGACTTTAGAAAGCCGCTCACGTGTCCAGCGTACGGTAGGAGCCCAGAAAAGACTTAAAAAGACTGTATGCTCAACTCCAGCAGATCTCCAGTTGACACAGAAACTGAGAAACTATTGTTAATAATACCAAAGGAGTGTCCCTAGGCAGAGGCAGTTCATAGACCAGGGAAGCTTTGTGTTACTTTGGTTCATGCTATTTAAGGAAGTCTCAGCTGAAACACTAGCTGAGGGCTACTGATGGAGTTCAGTGGTAATGTTTGCTTAGGATATGGAAGATACGAGGTTAGATTCCTAGCAAGTGCAAATGCAAATGCAAAAAAAAAAAATTGCCCACAATGTCTGAGGATGTTTGTTCTTGTCACAACAATATATCCCATCAGGAATAGCCCTTGTAAAAATAATTTGGTGGGAAATAAGTCACTAAATGTATAGACTATGGTACTCTTCCACAATCAAGGACAGAAAAGTAAACCTTGGCAGGCATAATATTGAATGCCTTTAGTCCAAGCACTCAGGAGGCAGGGGCAGGCAGATCTCTGGGAGTTCAAAGCCAGCCTGATCTACATAGCAGCTGCAGGCCAGCCAAGACTGAATAGTGATATCCAGTCTCCCAAAAGCAAAACAAAAACAAACAAACAAAAAAAACCAATAAACTTTAAAAGTAGAAATTTAACAACAAATTTACATTATACTATACAAAAATCTAGCTTTTAGCAATTCAAACTCAAAAAAAAAAAAAAGGTACAAAATATCTTTGAGAAAACCCCAAAATTGGGCTTAGTAGATAAAGACTGTGATCTGGTGATGGTGGTGCATGCCTTTAATCCCAGCATTTGGGAGGCAGGCGGTTCTCTGTGAGTTCGAGACCAGCCTAGTCTACAGAGTGCCTACACAAAGAAAACCTGTCTTGAAAAAACAAAAGGAAAAACAAAAAAGACTTTAAGTCTCCTGCCTTAAATGCACTCAGAGAGCTGGAAGAAACCACGAGCAGAGCTTAAAGAAACTAAGGGAGGCAAGAAGCATTGAAAGGAGACTTCCAGTGGAGAGGAGCCTGGTGTAAAATCGAATACCAAAAAGACCACTCAAATGAAAAGTCACTGGACCATCTCAGTGGCCCGTCTGAGCAGGGGGGAGAAAGGATGAGGAAATTTCAGGTTCTGACGGTAGAGTCGGCCAGTCTGAGGAACAGAAAGTGCCCAGAGGGCCTCATCAGGTGTGCCAGCATGTCTTCTGTGGACCCAAAAAAGAGAAGAGACAGACAAGGATATGTGTGATGGGGGCTGAAAATCTCCCACATTTGATGAGAGGCCTCAGTCTACAGACCCAGGCCCAACAAACTCTGGAGGATAAATTTAAAGATCCACACAAAGGCCATTATAATTAAATTGATGAAAGACAGACAGTTTGAACATGATAAGAACAAAGGTGTTTAGCTATTATCACATTATAATGGGGCATGATGGCTTGTATCTGTGATGCCAGCATGTGAGAGGCTAGAGGATCCCCGGAAAGTTGTGAGGTCCACATAGTGACACTAGTGACCTGAAGGGGAGAAGTGATAAGTCAAGAAGCCATAGGAGTAAGACATATTGAAAGTGCCAGTGGACCTGTCACCCAAGAATTTGTAAGCAACAAAGGCACAGAATGAAGGAGTCGTTAAGACATTCAGATAGCCGGGCGGTGGTGGCGCACGCCTTTAATCCCAGCACTTGCAGCACTTGGGAGGCAGAGGCAGGCGGATTTCTGAGTTCGAGGCTAGCCTGGTCTACAGAGTGAGTTCCAGGACAGCCAGGACTACACAGAGAAACCCTGTCTCGAAAAACCAAAAAAAAAAAAAAAAAAAAAAAAAGACATTCCAGATAAACAATAGTCTGTGGGGAGAGTTATCATGAATATGCCTTTCCTCTAAGATGCATATATATATGTATATATACACACACACATATATGCATATATATTATATATACATATGTATGTATGTGCATATATATATTCACATATGTATGCATGTATACATGCTGAGGATGTACATACACACACACCCCCATGCCTCATGCAGTTCTAAATGTGCACCTCCTACTGAGCTAACTGTCTAGTCTAATAACCCTTTGACCCATAAAGGTAGAATTTGTGGTAACAAATTATAAGAATAACAGATACATAGGGAAGAGTTTTTGGCATCATTGTTCTAGGGTATTCTTTATAACTCCATAATAAATATTAAGTAAACACCTAACAAATTCACACAAAAAGGAGAAAACCAAAATGGCACTTTACTAAGAAAAAAGTTGAATACAAAAGAATGTTTCAATAGAAGATTTCAAAAAGAAAAGCATGAAAAATATACCAAAGACAGATACCAACATGTCTGAGACTAGCCATATGTCAGAAAACAAAGTAAGTCTCAATAAACTTTAAATTATTAAAATAATATGAATGTCTTCTATAGCCAATAACAGCTGAAAAACTGGAAATTTTACAGAGTTGTAGATATAAATCTACCAGTGGATCAACAAAGAAATCACAAGGAAAATTAGACAATGCCTAAAAATAAGTGATTGAAAATAACCTGAGACAGTTATGAGATGTAGCAAGGGCCATGTGGGTCTAGCAATAGACGCTGTCATCTAAAAGGAGGAGTGAGGCAGGAGAAATGACCCAGTGCTCAAGAGTACCTTGCTACATTTCCAGACAATCGAGTTCAGTTCCCAGCACCCACATGTAGCAGTTCACCATGTCTGTCACTTCAGCTCCAGGCACTTGGACATCTGACTTCCAGCCTCCACGGGGACCTATACACGTGCAGCACACATAGAAATGAAAATAAATATTTTAAGAGAAAAAAGGAAGGAGGTGGTTTGGTGAGATGGCTCAGTTGGTAAAGGAGCTTGCTGTGCAGAGCTTACCAGCCTCAGGCCCATCCCCCAAACCATGTGAAGGAGAGGAGAGAGAACCCCACTAACTTGTCCTTGGCCTCCACAGCACACTGCATCCCCACAGAGCATATTCATTCACACGTGCAATAGTAACAAATGATGCTTTAGAAAAGAAGAATCGGGGCTGGTGAGATGGCTCAGCACTGACTGCTCTTCTAGAGGTCATGAGTTCAAATCCCAGCAACCACATAGTAGCTCACAACCATCTGCAGTGAGATCTGATGCCTTCATATGGGTGTCTGAAGACAGTGACAGTGTACTTACATATAAGAAAGAAAGAAAGAGAGAGAGAGAGAGAGAGAGAGAGAGAGAGAGAGAGAGAGAGAGAGGAAGGAAGGAAGGAAGGAAGGAAGGAAGGAAGGAAGGAAGGAAGAAAGGAAGAAAGGAAGGAAGAAAGAATCAGTAAGCTAGCTTTTAAATCTTGTGAACCTATAAAGCATGCCAGCAGAAATGGAGGCAAATAAAGAATTAAAATTAACAAAGTTAATTACTAGAAAACTGTTAAGTTTTTAGAGTAAGAAAAAAAAAAGACACAACTAAAATCAAAAATGAAAGTGGAAATATTTTCACCAAACTGTTGTTGTTGTTGAGACAGTTTTTCTGTGTCGCCCTATCTGTCCTAGAACTCACTCTGTAGACCAGGCTGGCCTCAAACTCACAGAGATCCCCCTGCCTCTGCCTCCTGAGTGCTATGTGTGCATCATCAAGCCCTGCTAACCAAATCTTTTCTTTTCTTTTCTTTTTTTAAGGGCTATAGCTCAATAGTAAATCTCTTAACTAGTATGCACTGGGCACTGGGTTCAATCCCCTGCACCACTTTTTAAAATAAATAAGAAAAACTTAGAAACTAGTAGCCTTTATGGTTAGAAATACAAAACTGAGTGAAATGATGGTGAGCCGGATTGTGTGTTTAAAGTGTATTCCATGACCATACAGCCAGGCGTAGAAGGACAATCTAACAGGAAATCCACTAGTGTAATTTACAGATAAAGTCAAAGTGGGAAAGCCATTTAACAAAACCTAGCTGCCCTGCAGACAGCACTTGGAAAATAATACCCAGAAAGTCTGTAAGCGACAGGACCCTCTTCACCATGCTAAACGGAACTTAGGAGAGTCATAGCTGACCTCCCCCTCAGTAGTGAGAGCCTCCCTGAGCACAGGAACAAGACAAGGTTCCTGCCTCACAGCTGCTATTCATCATTACAATAGTCTTACCAGTGGAGTTAGACAAATGAACATTTTAAAATTCATGGATTAGAAAGAAATGTATGAAACTATTTGCATGAGACTTTAAAGCCATAGAGAGGGGGAAAAATCTCAAAAAATTTTTCACAAAAAATACTAGAGCTAACTCAACAGATTGCAAGTAAAAGATCAACAGTCAGTTTCTTTACATGAGGAGTGAACAATCTAAAGAGATTTAAAGAGTCCAGCTGGGTGGTGATGGTGCACGCCTTTAATCCCAGCACTCAGGAGGCAGAGATAGGAGGATCTCTGAGTTCTAGGCCGGCCTGCTCTACAGAGAGAGTTCCAGAACAGCCAGGGCTAAATAGAAAGGCTCTGTCTTAAAAACTAAACAAAACAAAACCCCAACTCTCTTAGTCACTCTCCTATTGCTATGAATAGACACGATGACCAAGGCAACTCTTATAAATAAATGAAGGTTTGCTTACAGCTTCAGAGACTTGGGCCATTATCATGACCGGGAGCATGCATGGCCAAATGCACATATGCATGGTACCAGGTGCTGGAGCAGTGGTTGAGAGCCACATCTGGATCCAAGGGCAGAGAGAAAGAGAGAAACTCAGCCTGACACGGGCTTTTGAAACCTCAAAGCCTTCCCTCAGCAACACACTTCCTCCAACAAGGTTACACCTCCTCCAACAGGCCACACCTCCAGTCCTTCTCAGATAGCACCACTCCCTATAGCTAAGCATTCTAATGTGGGTCTATGGACACCATTCATACTCAAACCACAACAAAACCAAAGTAATTACACTGAGTATAGTAGCAATTAAAGGGGAGAACACTAGGAATAAATTCAACCAAGAAGGGGGAATGTCCACTGAGAGCTGCCAAAAAGAAGGAGAGACAAATGGATGGACTGTATTCACACATTGGAAGACAACAGTGTTAAGATGTGTAGATTATCGAAAAACCAAAAAAAAAAAAAGATGTGTAGGCTACCTAAAATGATGTACAAATTCACTCCAGTTCTTAAAATTCTAGAAGCCTTTGTGGCAGAAACTACCAAAAAATATTTTCCTATTCATAAGGCATTTAAAGGGCCCTGGACATCCAAAGCAATCTTAAAAACCAAAATTGGAAAACTCACACCTTCAAATTTCAAGCTTTTTATGAAGCTTCAATAGTCAAAACAACTTGGTCCTGGCATAAAGAGAATCCAAAGTCTAGAAGTAGCACACATCTCCGTAGCCGATTGATTTTTCAGGGAAGGTGCCAAGGCCTTTTAACTAAAGAGGAAAGAGCCCTTTGACGTACTGGGACAAGCAGATAGGCCCATGCAAGGAATGCAGTTAGATCACTGTGTTAGTCATGTACAAAGTCGAGGGTATGGTGGTACACACTTGTAATCTCAAGGCCACATAGCAAAAACATTGTCTCAAAAGCATACAAGTCTTAAAGGAAAACACAGTAAGTAGTTCATCTATTCAGGAGGATGTGGAAACGCTGGGAGGCTTATATAGTTATGGTGGGATGTAACATGGTTTGGCCACTATGGGAACTGATTTGGCAATTCCTCAAAAGTTTAAACCTTGCATTGCCACGTGCCAGAAAGTTAACTCCTAGATAAATATGCAAGAGAATCAAAGACAGTACTACAACAAATTTTTATAGTCACCAACACACTGCAGTTTGGCTTAAAAGTGTTTACAGCGGCACAAACAAATCCACTCACTAGAAACCATATTTTAGGTTTTTATCTAAAAGAACAATATGTAATACTGCACACTCTGATTCCAGGTGGCAGCGGCAAGTCCCAGGTACCAGTCAACCACACCCCCATGAAGATAATCCATATTTTACATTGTACTGTGTCACTGAGCTAGGATGTGCAGAAGGTGCATTGAATACATTTCCACCTTAAAATGGTATTCAGTAAAACCTGATGTCGGTGGTTTCCCTGCAGAGAAAGCACTTTTCTAGGTACATGCTTTGCCATGAGCCCTTGGATTTTGGGGGGAGAGGGTAGTTTTTTGTTTTGGTTGGTTAGTTGGTGTGGGATTTGGAGGGGTTGAGACAGGGTTTCTCTGTGTAATAGTCTTGACCGTCCTGGAACACCCTTTGTTTTGTTGTTACTTCATAACTGTAATTTTGCCGCTATTATGAATCATAACATAAATATTTGATATGGGCCCCAAAGGGGTTCTTGATCCATAGGTTGATAACCACTGTTCTGAAAGGTCTTAAAACAAGCACAGTTTACAGGCTTGGGGAGATGACTCAGTGGTTATGAACACTGACTACTCATCCAGAAGACTGGGTTCAATTCTTAGCACCCACATGACTACTAACAACAGTCTATAGCTCGAGTTCCAAGAGGATGCAACAGCCTCTTCTGACCTCTCAGGCATACCGTACATGTGATACACAGATAGATGTGCAGGCAAAATCCCCCCGATATACACACATTCTTAAAAAAAAAAAAAAAAAAAAAAAAACCTAGCTACTTGGACATAGTAGCACATACCTTTAAAATCCCGGCATGCAGGAGGAGGCAGAAGCAGGTAGACCTCTAAGTTCAAGGTCAATCTGGTTTTAGTGAATTTGAGGCTAGCCAAAACCACATACTGGGACCCTATGTAAACAAATGAATAAAATCTATAATGCTCTTGGTTGTGTCTGTCTGTCTGTTTGCAGAGTCTCTGTATCTCTGGCTCCCTGTGTCTCCTGAGTACTGTGTTTAAAGGTATGTACCACCATGGCTAGACTAGTGGATTCACTCTTTTGTTGCTGTTGTTTTGAGTCTCGCTATGTAGCCCCTGGCTGTCCTGGAGCTCTCCATGGAGACCAGATTGGCCTTGCCCACAGAGGTTCACCCGTCTCTGCCTCTCAGAGCTGATACTGAAGGCGTGCACACTCACACCCTGTGTGGGCTCACGGTTGTTTCTTAATAAAAGACTCATTAAGTAATGGCGCAAGCAAGAAAGTTCCTTCCCTATTGCCATATCTCTTGGTCTACTCCAGTGACATTTCATCTTAGTCAGGGTCATCAAATCCAACTAACAGACCTTTTTGAGCCTATAAGCTACGGTCAGACTTGAGGGATTTGGCTCTCACTCTGTAACCCAGGTACCTTGAACTCACTGTGTAGACCACCTTCCCTTGAACATGTGACAGTCTTCCTGCATCAGCCCTCCAAACCCTAGATTCCAGGCCTGATTCACACACCCTGAAGTTTTCTATTAAGTGCTTGGGTGCAAAGAGACTCTTGTGCTTGCTAAGCGAGTGTTCTCCCACTGATCTGTATCCCAAGTTCTTAAAGGTCGTTTTAAAAATAGCGTATATAGATGCCGGAGAAATAGTTCAATGGTAAGAGCACTGGGGTTTGGGTCCCAGCACCTGCATCAGGCAGCTCCTAGATGCCTGGACTCCAGTGCCAGAGCATCCAGTGTCCTCTTCTGACCCCTGTGGACACCTGCACACACATGGTGCACATACATAAACTCAAGCACACACATACAGATGAAGTCAGTAAATATTAAAAAAAAAAAATACATGACCTGCACAGATATGCCAGGTACAAACCTTAGATTAGCACTTAGGAAGCAGAAAGATTGGGAGAACCAACTTCAGTAAGTTGTCCTGTAACCACCACATGGGCATCATGACATGCACACATGGTAAATTTTTCAAAACTTTGTGTGCGTACCTGTGGTAGTTCCTTTTACATGTGGGAAAGGTAAGGAGTTCCTGGGCTTGGGTGCTTTTATTTTATATTTTATATATTTACATTAATACATTAATCTATATTAAATATACATGATGGTATATCTTATTTAATATATACATTTATATTATATATAATTAATAATACTAAATGTTATTTATTTTATACTTTATTCTATTTTTAGGTAGAGCCAATAGAATTTGCTGAGTGTGATCTGAAGGAGCAGCTGAAGGATGCTCAGAATCTTGTCCTGAGCCAATGGCTCAGCTCAAAGTGCGTCCTTGCTGTGTGGAGTCTTAGAATGGCGGGTGGCGCTTGCTGGTCTTCAGCTCCTGTGCAGTCTTATCAGCCAGGGCCTCCCCTAGGCCTTCCATAAGATCGGGGTTCCCTGCTCCTGTTGCTTCTCCACAGGGGTGAGGCCAGCAGTGCTGTAGGTTTGTCTGTTCCCTGCTCCAGTCACGGCCTTTGACTTAGTGTGTGTTGTTTCAGGTTGCAGTACTGAGGAGAAGACTTCTTATCCCAAGGAGCACATTTCTGAAGATTTGGAGTCACAGGCAGTAATACCAACAATCGTTTGTTGGTGATGTTTCTCCGTCTCCTAAGTTTGGAGGGATCACTGATGGACTATTAGAAAGTGGCTGAAATGTCTCCGAAGCTGAGAGCCTGCTCCAGCCCCTCTACTGACAGGAAGACCTCACACCAATGACCACGTTTCTGAAGAGCCCCTTAGGAGAGAAAGGTCTGATTTGTAAGGGTTTCGACAAAAACTTCAGTTTGAGCCCAAGCCCATTAGTGTGTCAGGAAGTCTCTACAGAAGAGAGGCCACATCCATACTCCACCTCAGAGAACATTCAGCACAATAGGGACCTAACTGGCCAGGAGGGGCTTCCTACACCTGAAAGCCCATTCACATGTCCTGAGTGTGGGAAGGCATCCCGAGGAAACCTTGACCTCGCTTGGCATCAGGGAGCCAACTCTGGAGAGAAGTCTTTAATGTGTTTTGAATGTGGAAAGTCCTTTAGCCAAAACTCTGTTCTTAAAAAACAGTGACAACCTTGCCTACCTGTGAAAGCCTACCAGTGTGGCAAGCGTACAAAAGTCCTTCCAGAGCACACAGACTTTGACAGGCATCAGGTTCACCAGCACAGTGAATATTATATGTATAACGGATGTGGAAAAGCCTTCAGCCAGAACTCAAGCCTTAAAGAACACCAAAAGTCTCACATGATGGAGAAGCCTTATGAATGCGGTGAATGTGGCAAGGCTTTTAGGTGGAGCTCAAACCTCACCCAGCATCAAAGAATCCATTCTGAAGAAAAACCGTATGTATGCAGCCAGTGTGGAAGAGCCTTCAGGCGGAGCTCACACCTCACCAAACACCACAGGGTTCACACAGGTGAGAAGCCTTCCAAGTGCAGTGAGTGTGGGAAAGCCTTTAACCAGAGTGCACACCTCAGGAAGCATCAGAGGGTTCACACTGGAGAGAAACCCTATGAGTGTAGTGAGTGCGGCAAGTCTTTCAGCCGCATCTCAAACCTCATTAAGCATCACAGGGTTCACACCGGAGAGAAGCCTTATCCGTGCAGTGACTGTGGCAAAGCCTTTAGCCAGAGTTCTAGCCTCGTTCAGCATCGGAGAATTCACACTGGCGAGAAGCCTCACGTGTGCAGTGTGTGTGGGAAAGCCTTCAGTTACAGTTCTGTGCTCAGGAAGCACCAACTCACTCACACAGGGGAGAAGCCGTATGGGTGCAGTGTCTGCGGGAAGGCCTTCAGCCACAGCTCGGCCCTCATCCAGCATGAGGGTGTGCACACTGGAGACAAGCCCTACGAGTGCCACGAGTGTGGGAAGACCTTCAGTCGGAGCTCCAACCTCATCCTTCACCATCGCGTCCACACTGGGGAAAAACCGTATGAGTGTGCCGAGTGTGGGAAGACCTTCAGCCAGAACTCAACCCTCATTCAGCACCAGAGGATTCATAATGGCTTGAAACCTCATGAATGTAACCAATGTGGCAAAGCCTTCAACCGAAGTTCAAATCTCTTTCACCACCAGAAAGTGCACACTGGGGAGAGGCCCTACACGTGTGTTGAGTGTGGCAAGGGCTTCACCCAGAGCTCACATCTCATTCAACACCAAATAACCCACACTGGTGAGAGGCCCTATCAGTGCAGTGAGTGTGGCAGAGCCTTCAGCCAGCGTTCTGTCCTTATCCAGCACCAAAGGACTCACACTGGACAGAAGCCCTACGCCTGCTCTGCTTGCGGGAAGGCTTACAGCCAGCACTCCAGGTTGGCTAAACACCAGTTGATTCATAAGGAGTAGCCCGGAGACTGGGAGGGGCGAAGCAGAGCCATGGTTCCCCTGGTTCTTCTGGCCCTTGTTTCAGCTGTCCGCTCCCCAGACGGGTGGCCAGCTCACTGATTACTGTGCCCAGCTGCCACAGAACCTGGGGCCTCCTTTGACCACCCTTCAGGGCTCTCCTGCTGTTGCTGCCACCACGTGGCCTCTCATCTGCATTGTGTTGTTTTTCTAACCCACAGACTCATGTTGGTTAGAAGGAAAAGGTGGCAAAGGCTTTGTGATCAGAGTTTGTTATCGTAATCAAAGGGTGTGAGGATAGGTAATGTGACCTTTTGGACTGGAAGTAACCTCAGGAATTCTTTTGTTGTTTAGCACTCAGTCACAGGAAGTAGGCTTGGATTCAGAGTCTCTTGTTGATAGTTTGTTTGCATAAGAACTAGATTAGGGGTTTCAGATCCCATTGCCACCTTCCCTGGGGTAATACAGCAGTTGCTGTCCCTCTCACCCGACATCTTACACCAGAGCTCCCTGTAGTCCTGAGTTCTTGAGTCAGGTTAGCGTCCTCCTGCTCTGCAGAGCCTCTAGCACAGTCCTCCAGCTTCTGTGTCTCAGGAGCAGGACCCCAGAAGCACTTTCTTCATGGCTCATCTCTTCCACTTCAGGTTCCAGGCCATCTTTCCACACATGTGCCCATCATCAGTTTTGGAGTACTTCCTGTTCCGTCTCAGGCAGTCCTGATATCCAGAATTGCACTCACACTGCTCCATAGGAGGGTTTCTGGCACTTAGGTGAGAGCTAGCATTATTTAAGGACTTGTGCCGCTGCTTCCCATCTGCCAACAAAAAGTCATTTCCCTTTTCCTGGCAGAAGGGACACATGGCTCCACGGACATATACCTGTGGCTGCATATGAGAGACTGTTCCACCCTCCAGGGTCCCTCAGCCCCTTCTCAACAGTTGTTATACACAGCAAGGCTCCCATGTGGCCTCCTGACCCTTCTCACCTCGACCCCAGCTCTCTTATGCCCCCCAACACCTGTTGGTCTCATTCCCTCTCCCCCTCTGTTCTGTTCTCTCTCTTGCTCTCCCTGTCTCCCCTGTTCTCTCCCTCTCTCACTTCCCTAGCCCTGGCCATATCCAGACTGCTTTCTCTTTCTCTCAGCTCTGGACTCCTCGAGATGCCTCTTGACAGTTCCCTTTCTTATGAACAATAAAATTCTCATCCCTACTAATGGAGCTGTCCTGTTGTCAGTTTCTTTACTGTGCCCTTTCATTTACATCTGATGCCCAAACTGCTCAAACTGTTCTATAGAAAGATTTCCGGATATTTAAACTGCTCCAAATCAAAACTTTCTAGGTACACACACACACAAACACACACACTCACACAAACACTTGTGAACACACAATATCAGCTCACTAACGTCTTCATTTTCCCAGAGCTGTGCCTCTAGGCTTTAAACAAGAAGAGAGTTCAGGAACAACATATCTGTCCCCAGAAAGGTCCCCAGATACCTACTAAGTAGACATCAGAGTGTCACATGACACACACCAACCAGACCAAATTTAACCTTTCAGTAAATAAACCTTTGTTAGAACACAGCCACACCCACTTGCTTTCAAATCTCTAGCAGCTTCTGCCTGTCAGAATTGAGTGTCGTCACTGGTACCATATGCTCCACACTGCTAGAGTATTATTTACTTTCTGGCCCTTCTCAGGGACTTTCCTAGCTTGGCCATAGGATGCTGCCCTTTAGCATAGGGTGCACTACCTGTTAGCATAGCAGGCTCTCGGGGTCAAGTTTTGAAGAGAGGTGCAAAGTTCTTGCAAGAATTGAACTTTTCTGTGACTAGAAGCCTCATGAACATGTGGTGTGCTTGCCTGAGCCAAGCCACTGCACACAGTATTCCGCTCTTTCTATCCCTCCCCCAGCCCAACACGTTCTCAGAGAAGTAAGACCTTGTTATGTACATGGGCTCTTCCTCTAGTCAAACTCTACCAAGACAGAGTGGATCTGGTACGTGCATACTTCCTAGTTTGTAGAGGCCTAGCTTAGGAATTTTTGTTCACAGATTATTAGAATATCAGAATCTTAAGGAGAGCCAAACATCAAGGAAAGGTCCAGGAGCAGCTCATGTAACTGTCTATCCAGTTGGGAATCCCACCATCGGGCCAGAGGGCAGATGTCAACTTCTCTGTTTAACCACGCTTTGATGTGGTGTCCAGTACAGCTACGGTCACCATTATCAGTGGTTGCTGTCCACAGGCAGGAAAGTGAAAGACATGAGGCCTATAACAGAAAGGCAGCAGAGAACTCTCAGGCTTTGCCATGAAATTTTGAGTAATTCAGCATGTCCACTATGGCTGTCGTGATTGTATTGTTAATTTTTGTAATTTTACACAGAAAAAAAAATATACACAAACACATTCAGAGCTCCCCATTTAAGGCTTGGTTTTTTTTTTTTTAAATCACGTTCTTCTATAGACAGTTTTGGTTTTTTGTTTGTTTTTAGTCTGAGCAACAGGATGGTAGGTACACTGTTAGTCAGGAAGTGGCTTCATGACATACTTTAATCTCTAAACTTTATTAACATTTGGACAGTTTTCTCAGTGTTTTTCTATGTATAAAATAGAAATGCTTCATCCTGTTCCAGGATATCGTCTTCTGTCATACACACACAGCTGTTTTGTCCTCCCCTCTGGATCAGTTCAGGCTTTCTTTCCCAATATTGGCATGTTTGGAGCATACTCCCAGTTACTATAGAATGTCCTTCATCTCGGGTTTGTCCTGTGTTTCCTGATAACTTCGGTAGGAACCCCCAAAGAGATGTGTCTTCACCAGGAAGTCTGAAATGTTTTTCCTTTCTTGCGATGTTACTCATTACAATTTACCTGTTTGGGGGTGGGAAGCACACTCATACCACAGCACAGGTGTTGGAGTCGGGACAACTTGTGGGAGACGATTCTCTTCTACCATGAGTTCTGGAGGTTGAACTCACATTTGGAAAGCAGCTTTACTTACTGAACCACCTCCATCTAGCCGCAGTGAAGTTTACTCTTTATAACTTGGTTACGGTGATGATTTCTGAAGCTGGGCATGGCGGCTCGTGTCCATAGTCTCAACACTCAAAAGGCTGAGGCAAGCAGTTACTGCTGAGTTCAAAGCCAGCCTGGACTGCAGAGTGAGACTCTGTCCTAGTTAGGGTCTCTAGGGAGATGATGAAACACCACGACTAAAAGCAAGTTGAGGAGGAAAGAGTTTATTTGACTTACACTTCCACACTGTATTCCATCTCTGAAGGAAGTCAGAGCAGGAACTGACACAGGGCAGGGACCTTGAGGCAGGAGCGGATGCAGAGGCTGTGGAAGAGTGCAGCTTGCTGGCGTGCTCAGCCTGCTGTCACCAACCCAGGGATGGCACCACCACATGTCTGGTGCCCACAGAGGCCAGAAGAGAGTGACAGATCACTTGAAATCTGAGTTACAGACAGTTTTGAGCCACCATGTGGGTGCTGGGAGTCAAACCTGGGTCCTCTAGAGGAGCATCTGGTACTGTTAACCACTGAGCCATCCCTCCAGCCTCAGTAGTCATTTCTCAGAATATGAAATTCTGGACACTAAGTCAACTCAAATTCAGTTACGTGAAATAGGATGGGTCAGCAGTTAAACATGAGCTGAGCTATAATGAGCAGTGGGGCTCAGGTGGTGGTGGGTTCTGTTTGGTTGTTTTGGTTTAGTTGGTTGTTTTTTCGAGACAGGGTTTCTCTGTGTAGCCCTGGCTGCCCTGGAACTCACTCTGTAGACCAGGGTGGCCTCGAACTCAAAGAGATCTGCCTGCCTCTGCCTCCCAAGTGCTGGGATTAAAGGCGTGCGCCACCACTGCCCAGAGGGTCAATCTTTAAATTGTGTGTGTAATAGAGGGGGGGAAGGAGGGAAGGAGGGAGGGGGGATTGAGTGCATGAGTGCAGGTGCCCACAGAGACCAAAGGCTGGAGTTGAAGTTACAGGCAGTTGTAAGGTGCCTGACTGGGAATCAAACTCAGATCTTCTGGAAGAGATATAAATGCTCTTAATGCTGAGCCACCCCCACTTAGCCATTGCAGCTTTTTCTTTTTAATCATTACTTTTATGTGTATGAGAGTTTTGCCTGCATGTATGTCTGGACACCATCTGCATGCAGTACCCACAGAGGCCAGAAGAGGGCAGCAGATCCCCTAGAATTGGAGTTACAGGAAGGCTCTGCGTTTACATGGTGCTGGGATCTGAACTCTGTTTCTTTGGAAGGTCCAATGCTCTTAACCACTGAGCCTCCTCCCTGACTGCATGTGTTAATGAAGGCATTAACCTCAGACTGCCTCTTCTTTGTGAGCCCACGTGTAGATCATCTGATAAGAAGGCCTGGGTGCGCTGGGCAGGGGTGGCGCACGCCTTTAATCCCAGCACTTGGGAGGCAGAGGCAGGTGGATTTCTAAGTTCAAGGCCAGCCTGGTCTACAAACTGAGTTCCAGGACAGCCCAAGCTATAAAGAGAAACCCTATCTTGAAAAACAAAAAACAGCAACAACAAAAAACAAACAAACAAAAAAAGAAGGCCTGGGTGCTCTTTCTTTGGCTTTTCTATCTAAAGAAGCTATGAGAACCTCTGGTCTAGTCTTGGAAACAGCCATGCTGGTTGTTGTTTTAGTTAGCTGGCATTGCTTTGACAAGCACACGGCAATACAAACTTAAAGAAGGGTTTCCTGTGGTTCAAAGGCCAGGTACAGTCCATTACGGTAGCTTGAGGTGTGTGGACGGTTGAGGCAGCTGGTTACATTGCATCTGTGGTCACAGAGAGGAGAGCGATGCATGCTCACACTCGGTTCAGTCCTTCTCATTCAGTCAAGAACTCTAACTCATGAAAGCTGCTGCCCGCATTTAGGGTAGGTCAGCCCGCCTCAACCTAATCTAGGCACTCCCTTACAGACATGCCCAGAGATTTGTTTCTCATGAAGCAGAGAATATTAGCCATCAGACTACCTTAGCCAAGTCCTCTTTGTTCTTTCGAGCAATTTTGGACCCGTGTAGAGACATGCCTGACGCTTCCCAGAGAGCTCAACGGTGTCAATAATGTATTCATACCCTCCAAAATATCTCTAGGTCCCCATACTGTCTCTTCTGCTTTGTGTCACATGGACACCAGTGGCCTCTCTATACTGTGACTTTTCTGAATGTTCCCTTAAACATATTGTTGTCCTCCTTTAAAATTGGCTGCTTCTGGGGCATACACACTTTAAAAATCCAAAAACAAAAACCTGGCTACTACACCACAGATTCCATCCTGATCCACAAGATCTGGAGACGAGGGAGCCATGCTTGCTTCGTGTCTCCGTTTTCAGACATTTCCTCCTCCAGCCCAAACCTATGCTTCTTGTGTAGCCCTGGCTGTCTTGGAACTCGCTCTATAGACCAAGCTGGCCCTAAACTCACAGAGATCAGCCTGCCCCTGCCCCTACCCCTGCCCATATTTTGTAACAGAAGACAAGTAACCAATACAATTAGAGAAATAAAAATTAAAGCCATAATGGAGGGGTGGGATCCGGTGTAACTAAGTGGGAAACTATATACTTAACATAAAAGAGTCCCTAACTTTAATTTCCAGCAGAGAATATGTGTGTGCGGGGACGCTAGGGGTCAGTCTCAGGAGCCATCCACCACGGTATTTTGTTTTTGGTTTTTGAAAAGGCTTCTCAGTGGTGGTGGCGCACGCCTTTAATTCCAGCACTTGGGAGACAGACGCAGGCGGATTTCTGAGTTCGAGGCCAGCCTGGTCTACAGAGTGAGTTCTAGGACAGCCAGGCTAGAGAAACCCTGTCTCGAAAAACAAAAAACAAAAAAAAAAAAAAAAAAAAAA